GGGGGTGGGGGGGGGGGGGGGGGGGTGGGGGGGGGGGGGGGGGGGGGGGGGGTGTTTTAACCCCCCCCTTACCCCCCTTCAAATCCGCCAATGGTACATACCATCTCACCGTGAATGAGACATCTGCGTCGTCTACAGGGTACGGGATATGGCACCCAAACTGGAACTCCTCCACTCCCTGTGCTGTTTTGAGGATCTCTGGGCCACTCAACCTTGGAGGGCTTGGCAGTGACGGGTACTTGGCTATAAGAGGAATAGAAAACATAAAATACATAGCATACGTGTGTGTGTGTGTGTGTGTGTGTGTGTGAGAGAGAGAGATGGACGTGGAAGTTTTGTGTTGTGTGAATTAAGGAAAGCAAGACCTTTGGTACTGTAAGGGAGATGATGGACTTTTCTCTTTTAATAGAAAACGTTCTCTGTCTGAAATAGACGTTGCAAAACAAGGGCAGGATGGATGTTTTTCGTTTATGTTTTGAAGAAGATTATTAGAGGAGACTACCTGAGCAATATGCTGCCCCACAAGCTTGTGTTTTTTTGAGCTCGTACACAAAGTAATCGCCACAATTCTTCACCCTAATATTTATTTCCCTTCTGCAGCATGGATTGTTCCTTACAGCATTTGAGACGCATGCCTTCCTAGAAACTATTCCATCCGCCACTGTAGGATGTGTCCCTGAAAGCAATATACGTGCATGTATTTTGAACGTGATAATGACTTTTACGATAGATAGACAAATAGATATATGGATATAGATAGATTCGACGGCAATCGGTATAGATACCGATTGTTTATTCTTATATATATATATATATATATATATATATATATATATATATATATATATAGAGAGAGAGAGAGAGAGAGAGAGAGAGACAAAGAGAGATAAAGTTATTAAGTAAACAATTTTATATGCAAGTGTTCATTCTAAACAAAGTAATTAGTTAAAACCGTTTACTCCGAAATCACGTTATTTCAGAATTAAAACGAATATCTCCTTTTTGTAATTTTCTCAATATCTGATTAGTTCTCCGGGGCAAGGATGCCTAATGTCGGTTAAGAGTTTAGAGAGGCCGGTGAAACGAAACTGATGGTCCGTGTAACAGAAAGCCCGCCCTCCATTTAGTTATAATGGTTAGGGTTAGCCGGATCTAAGTGGGTCAAAATATAGAGCGAAGCTTACCTGTACAAACAAACATGGGAAGCTGGCTCTCTATCAAGGGGTCTCTCCGTCGAGTTATATCGGCTTCAGAGAGCAGAATTATTCAAACACCATAGAATCACTTCTCTTGTTCATTACCCCCACAAGAATGTTATGTTTTCAGTTTCGTTCGTTTGTCTATTAGCCGCAATATGCACAAAGTTATGGACCGAAATATATATATATATATTTGAAAGATAGGTCAGACATGGGTCAAGGAACAAATGATTTGATTTTTAATTATAATCGATTAATGGTTAATTAATTATTTGTCTCGGCGGAGGTTTGCGGTCTTTTTTCTTTTCTACTAGTAGTTATACATGTTAGAAATAATAGTAAAAAGAAAACCAGAACTCCTAGAACATTCACATAATGCAATCCCTAAAGCTACTTACAAAGGCGAAGCATGAACACCCCCTTTTATGATTAGAATTTTTAGGATTTTTTATACACTGTAGATAAATGAACGTCCAAACCTTTAAGCCATACAGGTCGGTCAGTTCCACAGCTTTGTGTCGTCGGGCACTGCTGGTACATGCGCAGTGACACCAACTTATTGTTTGTGGTGCTCACCATCCGGTACCACAAGGTCTTCAGTTGATGATCCTTAAAGATACAACTGTCGTATTTAACAGTATTGTGTGCCATGCGTCTGTCGTCGTCCAGGGTGACGTAATTGGTGCACGGATCGGGGTCGGCGGCCATCAGACCTACGGTGAAGTCATAAAAGGAAGTTTAAAAAAAATTCAAGGCCAAGAATAGGGCGTGGGTCTATGTCCCAACCAACACACACACACACACACACACACACACACTACATTATCCCTTTTCTCAGTATAATCTCGATGTACATGTGCATTGTATATACCAGTATCACGATACATTTACACATAAAAAAAAATGTCTGTCCTCTGTTGTTCCTCTATGTAAACCCACTTTCAAACAAAGAAACAAGCCCACACACAGATAAACACAAAAGTCACACAGGCATATAAATAAGTAAACAAGCCAAAGGGGAAACTCGGTTATAGTTACATGAAAATTAAAGCTGCTTCACACTTTGACAATAAGACTAAGATGATACCTATCAAAATAACAGCACCAACAGTTTTGTGTGTAATTATCTAATTAAAACACATTTATAAATATACTTTTGATGTTAATATCTAACTGAAACATAGTGATACTTATACTTCTATACTTAGATGAATTAAGCGCTGGTAGAAATTACCTGCGATCAAGGCGAGTAAGATCAATGTCGCCATGCTGGGGACAGTGCCTTCTGCCTATCTACCGGTACGTGGTGTGGTGTCAACTTTAAAAACGATTCACAGAATGAGGTTACCCTTCAGGGGGCACCAGGCGCGAGAAAGGAGTTATTTTCAAAAACTTTTATAACTGATTTGACTGGATGTTATCTTAACATTGTACTATCTATTCTGATATTTTAAATTTTTAACTGTCCAGATATTCATTACATTGTACTATACACTTTAAGATTTTAATATCTGAACTGTAGGGAGAGATAATGGGGTAGGCATGAAGCTAAGGAAGGGGTACTTTCCCGCCGTGTCCTCGTCTGGAGCCACCGCTGACACAACACTTAAACTTTAAAACTATTCACTCTGTCTTTATATTACCAAGACGTTTGGACTAGACCATATATACTGTTTTGAACGTTTAAGATAACTGCGAGTAATTTAAAATATTATTTACTTTTTAGTCAAACGGAATAACTAACTCTTTTGGCTACACGTGTCTTATGGCTTACTTATCCAGTTGTAACATGATGAAAACAAATCCTTGTTTACTTGCACTCAGCCCCGAAACGTGAAACAAAGGAAAAATGGACGCAGATCATACCAGTAGGAAGCGACAACAGTGATGAATAATTCTGAGAAAAAAATATTAATAAATTAAAACGTCTGATGAAATATATACGCATCGCACTCTAAGATACGTTTCACTGAAAGCTATAGCACCTTTGATAGCCATAAAAAAAGCGCGTACGTTACATGCCGTTCTACAGGTGTGAAGGGAGTGAAGGGAGTTGGAGTGGCGTAGGCTGTGATGGAGGAGGAAAAAGGATATTTTAGTATTTGAAAGTTAAGGTTATTTGTTTGTTATTTGTTTTCCATTCTGCTCTTTCTTTGGGTCTGTTAATGCACCAGCATACAAGTTCACTCTATCTTTTTATATCCCACTTTAAGCCATAGTGTTATCAGCGGCTCGATAACATTGGCCCCTAGATAGGCCTACATGTGCGAAAAGAACAACATACAGTATACATGTAGCATCCAAGATCTATTTCACCGACATTATCAACACCCTCAGTTTCAGAGGGCAGTCAGTGGAAACATATTAGTATCAGAAAACCTGGATGCCGGACATGCCGTTAGAAGTGATTTTCCAAGGATCTCTGAACCTCAGGGTGGTTATCAATGGACTGTTCTAATAAATGACCCTGTCTGTCCTCGTTAAGGACATGGACTTTATGCACTGGTTATATAGAAGCCCTGTAGGTCACTTCTCAAAATAATATAAGTATAGGCCTATATCAGTTGACATGACTAAGTGACATAAGTATTGGCTAATTTTGGCTCTGTTACAGCCAGATGACAATTTTCCCACAGGCTTCTTGACCTCTGTATTGGATAAATACGTGACTTTGATTGGGACTATATTTATAGACCTACATGTTGCTAGTATGGAACTGACATGTTTACATGAAAATGAAAATCTTTTCATATTTCGTTAAGTATCTGTTACATTCATATAATCGGACCAACAGATCCTCGGATCTTATATGGCGACCCGCTAAAAAGCCTGCCGCTCAATTCCCGATTAGATACTGAATAGATTTCCCACGGGATTGCGCAACAAGCATTTTAGTGGGTCGGCCATATTTGATCCGCGGATCTGTTAGTCCGCTGTTCTAAATGCGCTCTTAGACTATTAAAAATTAGGGCGGTAGAAAGAGTGTTGGAGGCAATTCGTCCTGTTACAGCCAGATGACAATTTTCCCACAGACCTCAATCAACCTCTGCACCGGATAAGTTGATTGAGGTTATATTTATAGACCGACTTGTTGCTAGTATGGAACTTATATTAATCACTGGCGCGATGATGTGTAATTTTAACTAGACCTATAAGTACAAAAAGATAATTATTATCACAATGTTATTTATCTATCTATCTATCTATCTATCTATCTATCAACACCGCATCGAAACAAAAATAGTGTTATAGTGAGGAATAACGACAACGGTCTGGAGCTTTCAAACGTTTATACACCAATTGCATTTTTCATACAATTTTACAAGTAAGCTTATTTATATTCTAATTCTCAGTATTGATCACACATGTAATTATGTTCCATTCTCATGTTGCAAACCACCATGCAGCATTTCCTTATTAGGAAATCTCTAAGAGACTTGTTTTCAACAAAAATCATCAAAAATACTATTTGAATTGCTCATACTTGAATCATAGCCAAACCATAAACTTTTACTGGCTCTGACCTTTTCTATCTTTTTCCGACATTAAAAACATATGAAACTTAACACTCAAAAACTCCCTATCCTTTTACTCCTTTGATTCCGTTTTAATTAGTATCTGTAATTAGTGAAAGTGTAAGTCATTTGCTTTACAACAATAGCACTCACACACACACGCGTGCGTGCGCGCGATGTCTACTAGTACCTGTTCTAGTCCAGTGAGTGAGTAGGCCTATAAGTACATATATATTCGTTTGTTCTAATATATCTTATTATATCATTTTTGTACTATGGGTTTAACATTTGGGATAAATATGACAAAATATTAAATAGAATACGTAGTGTCAAATGAATTTTTCCAAAGATTGATTTTATTGAAATTCCAAGGAGCGAAAACATTGCTACCGGGATATTTGCATTCGATCAGAAGTTGTACTTGCTTTGAGAAAGGCAATAGCTGTTGGTTACATTTTTTTACATGCAGTCGCTGTTAGTGATGCTTTTGTTATGTTAGTAAGTGACAGCATGTAGTGAACTTAGAGCGGGGAGTGTTTAGTAGAGTAACTTGAGTTGATTGACATGCTCTTATGATATTTATACAACTGCGCATTATGTAAACGGTGGAGAAGGCCGCTAGAGATTGCATGAAGTAGAAATAGGAATGAAGGAAGCGGCGCATGTAACAACTGGAAAGTAGATAATAAATAATAAGAAAGTCATTAACTGAGTCGTAATTGCTACCTCGCATAACAAGTTAGACAAAGTGAATGACGTCGTCACATATGGTGGAGGATGTAAAGTGAGAAAGAGACTTTCGACATGAATAATGTCAGCTAGAGAAAGACCAGTCACCAGACAGACATCCGCACGTGTTCTATCCGAAAAGAAGATGACAATGGGACAAACAAAAGAAATGAAAGGTAAGGAAGAACCTTTTGATTTTTTTAGATATTCGAGACCAGTTGGAAGATATCCAGATGAAATTAGATGTTATGGGTAAGGGTGACCCTCTTTTACACGCAGTTCAAAGGCAACTTACAGAATTAAACTAAAAACGAACTTCAGTTTCTGCCGGTCCAAATATCGATACATTTTTTGGTTTTCCACGGAAAATACGCGATAATGGCTCACGAGGTTCGAAAATTACTGCAATTTAACTTTAAGTAAGTATTCCCCACATAGGAAATTGAACGCTTTTATGCTATACATGAAGGGTCCTGCTGAAATATAGTTATCCGAATTGTCTGACGCAAGAAAATTGAGTTACGATGTCCTTAGAACCTAAGAGAACTGAATTTCAAAACAATTTCGACAGAAAATCTTCAAAATGGACTAGAGAACAAGAACTCGGAGAAAGAAAACAAGTAACAAGTAGAGAATGAATCCATCGAGGTTTACATCGCGGATGCGACACCGTTTTTCTCTGCTTAAAGCGCGGACGATAGACTGTCTGGCGTATTTCGTGAGAGGGTTACGGAACGAAATTAAACACTTTGTTATAACCCATCTAATTTAGAAAAAGCAGAGAATCACGCGTGATTAGGGTCAACAATTGCGTCAATACCGGTTGAGAAAGACAAACCGGAGATCGCAACATCTATCTCTGGAAAAAGTCTACAGCGACTGATGGAACAGCAAGAAAAACAAATTGCTGACATTCGCCGGGCAATTAGACGCGAGCAAGTAAGAAAACAACACTATACAGGAAACTGTGAACACTTATCTTATCTGTACGTACGCGAATAAGGCATACGTTGATTGACATGCTCTTATAATGTTTATAGGCCTACAACTGCGCAAAATGTCAACGGTGGAGAAGGCGGCTAGACGCATGAGGTAGAAATAGGAATGAAGGAAGCGGCACATGTAACAACTGGCAATTAGTAGTTAATAAATAATAAGAAAGTCAATAACCTTGGACATAATAAGAGATTTTATGTCCAAGCAATAACTGAGTCGTATTTGCCATCTCGCATAACAAGTAAGACAAAGTGAATAACGTACGTCGTCCCACTCTGCGCAACAGGGGCGGATTCAGGATTTTTTGAAGGAGGGAGATCCGGTTTTTTAGGGATTGACATGCAAAGAACCTCGACGGGAGGTCGATAACCATTCTGGCTATTTTAAATAAAATTAAATACATTTCAATAAGGAAGAAAGAGGAACAATTAAATAATAATTACCTAAAATATAAAGCAAAATAGAGTACATACATTTAATAAAAACTAACTATAAAGTTTCATCAATGTACACATGTAATGCATTAATATTTAAAAATTGGGGAGGATTGTTTCCTTTCAAGGGAAATCCGGCAGCTCTTACATCAAAAACGAGAACTTTTCACTGATGACGTCATCCTTGCAAATGAGCTACATCACTCGAAATGAATCTCCTCGAACCCGAGAGTTTTAGGTGCTCTCGGAGGCTGCCGAAATATTTGCTTTTCTCGTCAATTTTCTTTAAGGTAAGGGTGCAATGCACCATTTTTTGTCGGTTTTATGTCTTCGAAGACTGTATGTTGTTACAAATTTGTGCAATTAAGATTCTACACATCCACGTGGCCCTATCGTCTGCGAAGTTGTCAGCAGCCTATGCTGCACGTGATTTGCTGCCATGTCGGTGAATTCGCCCGTCGAGTGCAGGCACAAAGCCAGCATTTTTAAAGGCAGGAGGGTTCTTTTGGTGAAAAATGGACCTTGTCCAATGTAATATTCGTGTATCCTGGTCAAATTCTACCTAGCGCGGACTGCCTGGACTTCCCTTCCCAGGACTTGCATTCCTGTTACACACTGGGTCTGCTGTAAACAGAAGAAAGATCCTAAGCTACAGTTGAGTAGTATAATGGTCATTTCAACTGAGTATTTAGCCTTTGTAAATTGCACTAGTACAACATATGAGTTTTCCAGGTGTGCAGTATGAGCACCATGATGAGGACAGTCCAGTTTGAAGCAGGTGGACCCGAGAAGATGTCAGTGGGAGAGGTTCCCGTGCCAGAACTTAAACGCCAAGAAGTGCTCATTAAAGTTATAACTACTGCCATAAACAGAGCTGACACTCTGCAGGTGAGGTACACACTTCATGTAGGGCCTAGCTAGGACTTACAAGTGGACCTATTGCAAAAAAAAACAATGTATATCTTTTTTTAGGGTAGGGGGAGGGGTTAACGATAAAAACATGCAGTGTGATTAGTCATGGTAATTGAAAAAAAATATATATTTATAATATATTTTATAAACAGAGTACATGCATCTAAGATCATTTGTGCTAATTGGAGTGTTAAAAATTTCAAATTGTTATATCTATTTTAAATCTTCATTGTCATATTGATGATTTCCAGTCTTTTGTTTCAGCGTAAAGGGCAGTACCCCCCTCCCCCAGGGGCCTCCCCCATCCTTGGCCTGGAAGCAGCAGGGTTGATAGACCGTGTTGGCCCAGGGTGCAGTGACAAGTGGAAGGTGGGGGACAGAGTCATGGCTTTGTTAAATGGTACTTAACTTTTAGTGCATCAGAATAAAGCAGCAATTTTTCTTTTTCTTTTTCCTAATTTACTGATTAACTTTCATCACCTAATTTAATTTGACTTGATATGAAAAGGAGAACAAATGTGCAGTTACATTTAACATTTAAGACTAGTATTTTTGCTTTTGACAAACATGTTGAAGATGGGGGAAAACCTACTCCAGTTAATGGAATACTAGTATTAGAACTTAAAGTATTGTTCACAATATTCCAGCCTGAAACCAATAGTTTAATATTGCTCAGACACATGTTATCATATCATTTCCTTCCCCAGGTGGAGGCAATGCAGAATATGCTGCTGTGCATGAAGACCATGTGATGCCAGTACCAAAAGGAATGTCCATGAAATCAGCTGCTGCTATACCAGAAGTATGGCTGACTGCATTTCAGTTACTGTACTTTATTGGTAAGTGCATTGTGTGTGTGTGTGTGCTCTACTATTTATCATCATTATACTGGTAAGTCAAATTCTGTGCAAGTAATTAAATCCAGTCTGGTTGACTAAGTGAATTTACATGTTCTGGTGTGAGGAAGGGAGTTATCCTGAGGGTATTGTCTCAGAATTGTTCTGATATCATATGTTATCAGTGCATCATACTTACATCTTGACTGTATAATTACTGTATCTGTACCAGGTGGTGTCAAATCAGGAGAGACAGTGCTTGTACACGCCGGAGGAAGTGGTGTCGGCACAGCAGCAGTGCAGTTAATAAAACTGGCAGGTAAGATATGTCCAGTAGAAGTTGGAGATTTTTTGTTTGTAAATTAATAAAACTGGTATATAAAGGGGCCCGCACACGGTGAGCATTTGGCGCGCGCCACTTGCGCTGCGGCAGATGCTCGCGCTCCTCAGCTCCCTGCAAACGATGCGCTCTTTGCTCAGCAGAGATGCATCCCGGCCTGCCCCTATCGGACGCACTGCGAACTGTGGGATCATGTGATTAAGGAAACATTACATATTTATTTTTTTTTCTGTAAGTAATGGCAAATGGTGACCACGTTAATCAATCAGACTAACTATAACTGTGTACATTTTTGTTTACTTCACTGGGGGCTGCCATTTTTCTTTGTTTCCGGCTACCGGCACATGCGCATTGTTGGCATGGTGTGAGCAATCGGCGCTTGCACCCCGCGCACGCTGAGACATTTGCCTCAAGAGACCAAAAAAATCAAACACGTGAGAAATTTTGCTCAGCCGCGCGAGAGGCAAAAATATCACCAAAATACCCCCCGCACACGATGAGAAACGGCGCAGCGCAAGTGGCGTGCGCCANATATTTATAATATATTTTATAAACAGAGTACATGCATCTAAGATCATTTGTGCTAATTGGAGTGTTAAAAATTTCAAATTGTTATATCTATTTTAAATCTTCATTGTCATATTGATGATTTCCAGTCTTTTGTTTCAGCGTAAAGGGCAGTACCCCCCTCCCCCAGGGGCCTCCCCCATCCTTGGCCTGGAAGCAGCAGGGTTGATAGACCGTGTTGGCCCAGGGTGCAGTGACAAGTGGAAGGTGGGGGACAGAGTCATGGCTTTGTTAAATGGTACTTAACTTTTAGTGCATCAGAATAAAGCAGCAATTTTTCTTTTTCTTTTTCCTAATTTACTGATTAACTTTCATCACCTAATTTAATTTGACTTGATATGAAAAGGAGAACAAATGTGCAGTTACATTTAACATTTAAGACTAGTATTTTTGCTTTTGACAAACATGTTGAAGATGGGGGAAAACCTACTCCAGTTAATGGAATACTAGTATTAGAACTTAAAGTATTGTTCACAATATTCCAGCCTGAAACCAATAGTTTAATATTGCTCAGACACATGTTATCATATCATTTCCTTCCCCAGGTGGAGGCAATGCAGAATATGCTGCTGTGCATGAAGACCATGTGATGCCAGTACCAAAAGGAATGTCCATGAAATCAGCTGCTGCTATACCAGAAGTATGGCTGACTGCATTTCAGTTACTGTACTTTATTGGTAAGTGCATTGTGTGTGTGTGTGTGCTCTACTATTTATCATCATTATACTGGTAAGTCAAATTCTGTGCAAGTAATTAAATCCAGTCTGGTTGACTAAGTGAATTTACATGTTCTGGTGTGAGGAAGGGAGTTATCCTGAGGGTATTGTCTCAGAATTGTTCTGATATCATATGTTATCAGTGCATCATACTTACATCTTGACTGTATAATTACTGTATCTGTACCAGGTGGTGTCAAATCAGGAGAGACAGTGCTTGTACACGCCGGAGGAAGTGGTGTCGGCACAGCAGCAGTGCAGTTAATAAAACTGGCAGGTAAGATATGTCCAGTAGAAGTTGGAGATTTTTTGTTTGTAAATTAATAAAACTGGTATATAAAGGGGCCTGCACACGGTGAGCATTTGGCGCGCGCCACTTGCGCTGCGGCAGATGCTCGCGCTCCTCAGCTCCCTGCAAACGATGCGCTCTTTGCTCAGCAGAGATGCATCCCGGCCTGCCCCTATCAGACGCACCGCGAACTGTGGGATCATGTGATTAAGGAAACATTACATATTTATTTTTTTTTCTGTAAGTAATGGCAAATGGTGACCACGTTAATCAATCAGACTAACTATAACTGTGTACATTTTTGTTTACTTCACTGGGGGCTGCCATTTTTCTTTGTTTCCGGCTACCGGCACATGCGCATTGTTGGCATGGTGTGAGCAATCGGCGCTTGCACCCCGCGCACGCTGAGACATTTGCCTCAAGAGACCAAAAAAATCAAACACGTGAGAAATTTTGCTCAGCCGCGCGAGAGGCAAAAATATCACCAAAATACCCCCGCACACGATGAGAAACGGCGCAGCGCAAGTGGCGCGCGCCAAATGCTCACCGTGTGCGGGCCCCTTTAGGGTGAAAATAGAAATTTCATTCCAGCGCAAAAGGCGAATGGTCAGTTGATTTGAAGTCAGACTTGTCAAATTATTATTCCTCCGTTTGGGAGTGTAAAATGTACATTTTTTTAATTGGCTCCCCCAGTAACTAATTGTAAGTTTGTTATGTTTGGAGTAAATAAGGTTATCTTAGTGGAATTTGATTCAGACTGAGTAATTATCTGAGTTTTGTCCAAGTGACCCAGTGTATTGAAAAGTTTTTTTCTTTATCACATAGGTGGCAGGTCTTTGGTGACAGCTGGTTCTGAGGAGAAGATAAAGAGGGCGCTAGAGCTTGGAGCCGAGGCTGGCTTCAACTACAAAACAGAGGACTTTGCCGAGCATGTATTGAAGCACACAGACAGTAAGTTTAGTTGGGAGCAAAGTATTCTCTAGAGAGCCATCCAGTTGTCATTAGGATGGCCTGTATACTTTTAAAAAACAGCTGGAAGGCTTAAGGAAGTTTTGAGGAATGGTGATCAAATGGTGATCAAATTTCAGATCAACATTTCTGACTCCCTGTACCCCAAATCGTGGTTGGATGTTAGGAAATATTCCATGCACATGGATTGTCACAGATCATACTGACAAATGATATTTTGCATTACAATTTGAAACACATAAGGTTTATGAAAATTATGAGTAAATATTGATTTTGATGAGAAAATAATGCAAATATTTTTTATATTTTACTCAAGTTTTCAAGATAATGAAGGTGAACATTTTAGGTTCCACTGATATTGTGTCCTAGGACTTTGACTGGTAGTGGTATTTTACCAAACAAGTAAACTAAATTGACCAATTCTTCACCCCTTCCCCCTTTTTAAAGTACAGAAAATTTCTTCAGATGTTTTTATGCTATGCAATAATACACCAACATTATATTTTCAGATAAAGGCGTCAATTTGATCTTAGATTGTATAGGGGCCTCTTTCTGGGAAAGGAATGTTGCTGCACTGGCTGTAGACGGAAGATGGGTTCTTTATGGTTTGTTAGGTAAGGCTTGAAAATTAATTGCAAAGATAAGTGGCAATGCCCCAGGAATTGATGGAAAGGACACATTTGAAACTATTGTTCATTTTCACATATAGAGGTCCATTTTATTTTTCAAAGTATTGCTGCAGTTTGAGATATTGACAACTTGATTACTTGATTGCCTATCTTTTACAACGCTTGTGTATGAAACTCAGACTGGCTTTACTAAAGAAAGAATCAAGCTTATAATATCTTGGCAGGCAATTGAACATATAGTTGTGGATTGGTTTATTAACAGCGTAAATTAATGTTGAAAAAGGTGAATTGTGGCAAGGATTTTTTCATAGCCTTGGTAATTAATGAATTTTAATGTATTTCTAAAAGTGTTTTTGTTGTTGTGTTCATGTAGGAGGTGGTAATATAAATGGAGACCTGTTGGCTAAAATTTTGAGGAAAAGGATCAATATTACTGGAACAACACTGAGGGCCAGATCAACAGAGGTAAGAGGTCTTTTCTTATATTTAGCAATGTGTAACATTAACACTGGTCCCACATCCATGAATGAATGTGTTGCCATGACTGTATCATTGCTGTGGATAAGAACAGATAAAATATTTTTTATTGAGTTCATAGATTGTGTATTTGAATAAATTCCGTAAAACTTTAAACTTATGGTAAATATAAACTTGAAAGCATGATAACCTTGAAAGCTGGTGAAAATGTAAAACAATGTTGTCCTGGGAGTCCGTGATGCTGAACTGAATGAATGTGCCATGACAGGACAGGAGTTCAAATATTTAGGGCAGGTCATATGACACATGTGAACACGTCTCCCTATGCATGTCTATGAACATGCTCCACTCTGTCCTGCCATGTAATGATGTTGCCTTTCCCTCTCTTTAGTTTTCCCTCCATTTCTCATTAGATGGATGCTAGCACAAAGCTCTCACTTGTTTTCCAATGTTCACACTTTCTGATGTTTCATGTTTGTCCCACTTGGAATGCCAATAAAACTGAAGTTGGGTCAGTTATATGCTGTTGGGTTGTCCTGTTACTGGTTATGCCCCATTATTTCTGCTTTGGGCTAGTGGATTCTTATATCTTGGTTTACTGAAAGGCCAGTAAGCTGAAATTTTTGGTCCAGACTTTTTATGTACAGACACAGATGTGTCTGTACATATAGCCATCATCTGCGTCTGTCGTCGCCGTCGCCGTCGTCGCTGTCGTCGCCGTCGTNTGTAATACTGTCAGAAAATATCTCTGGGTCCGCTCCTGTTATTGACCATGTTACCTGTTGTGCAAGATTAAAATTCAGTGTTGACTGACAGTGCTATTATAAACATTATTTATTATTGCATCAAAATTGACAAAATGACCTTTTTTGCATCTTTATTTTCTGTTTTTTGTCTGTACATTTGACAGCTTTGCTGCCTTGTTTAAAGGAATGTACCAAGTTTAACATGGGAAATGCTACTTTTATTAATCTGTTTTTATTTAATATAATTTGGTTGAAAGTGGATATTGACAGAATTATGACAAAATTATTAAATTCTCATTTTAGTATAAAGCTGAGCTTATCCGCGATTTCACAGAGAAGGCCCTCCCAGCATTCCAGAGCGGGCAGTTACATCCTATAATAGACACTGAGTTTCCACTGGAGCGGATAGCAGATGCACACAGATACATGGAAGAGAATAAGAACACTGGGAAAATACTGGTTACTGTTAGCACTGAGGGAAAAGGGGAACTTTGAAGTGGAGATCAGTTCAGTCAGGTTGAACAGAAAGTCCATGCCGTTATTAAACCCAGTGATGCGAGGTAATCAGTGAAGTATCTGTTGCTCTGTGTAACAGCGACATTGAGTAATAGAGAAAAACATTTTAAATTAGGTATGGCATTATGTGCCTGGAATAAAGGTTAGACAAATATGAAAAATTCTGTATATTTTTCATAAGAATCAAAACATTCCATCTCTATTTTTAGGTATATGAATAATTTTACGAGACCATACCCCATAAGTAGTAGTAAATGTAGCAGTCTTACCTAATAGTGCTATGTACATATTATTTGATCATTGGCACATAGGTCATCTACGGGTCGATAAGTACTGTATCAGAATTATTATATTAATTAACTTACGGTTATCATATGTGAAAAAGAAGTGCTATGCCTTTATATATAGGAGTCAAGTGTGCATTGCACAAAACACCGAAACAAGGGTCATAATTATGATTTAAAACAACACACATTCNTTAAAGCTGTGAGTGACCGTTGGGCAGTTTCACGTGACCAAATATCCAAACGAGGCAGCTGATGTGATTGGACTGGCCACTGGTCAGTTACACGTGACCACTGCATGTTAGAACAAAGAGGATGCAGGGATAAAGGTCCCTATGCAGCCCTCCTGTGTGAGTTTTAAATACCATTTAGTTTAAATGGGCACTTAAAACAACACACATTCGGGCTTAAGTCACCTTTATTCCTACACCTCTAAAACTACTGAACAAAGGCACAAGATACATGTAATAGTAATACAATTAAAAGGCCCAGTGTCTTTGGCACGATAACTTCCCCAATCCATATTAGGAACAAAGAGGATGCAGGGATAAAGGTCCCTATGCAGCCCTCCTGTGTGAGTTTTAAATACCATTTAGTTTAAATGGGCACTTTATACTTACACGGTTATACTAGTCGAATAAGAAATGTAAGGAATAACACGTGAAAATTGGGTGTGACCTCAATGCATTAGGTATAATCATAAAATTACAGTGTGTATGTTGTCACGGACATAAAACCAACTGAATATTTAATTGCTCAAAATGTATTGCATACAAATAGTATTATAACATACATTTGCCAGAATTCTGAACTTGAGTTCGTAAACATTTTGAAAACAAGATTTCACTTTCGTAGGATCTGTGCCTGTAGAAGCATAGTAACATATCACTGCTTGTACTATATTTCCAGTACTTAATATTACCCACATGAACTCCTCGTTGGAAAGTTTTCAATGAGCATTAGACAGAGCCACTTTCTCCACAATGGCATGTCTTTTGCTGTGAAATCATATGGTGCATCCAGCGTGTTGTATAAGGCATTCATTTTTATAAGGAAAAAAAAAAAAGAAATTGTTGCCATAAATCTGAGGCAGTATCTGCCCTTCATCTTCCCATGTAGTTGTGAATCACCAGCCTTGTTCTTCATCTGCAATGAAGGTGTTTCCAACACTCTTTCATAGGATCTATGCCTTTGTAAACATAGTGATGAGAAACTATTTGTACTGTATTTCCAGTACTTGATATCACCCTGTGAACTCACTGGCAAGTTTTCAGTCAGCAGTAGACAGAGCCACTTTCTCAACAATGGCATTTCACTCGCTGTGAAATCATACGGTGCATCCAGTGCTTTGTATAAGGCATTTTCATTAAAAAAATTTGTTTCCATAAATCTGGGGCGATATCTACCCATTTTCCTCCCGTGTAGTTGTGAATCACCGGTTTTATTCTTCTAATCTTTTATCTTACTCTTTTTGAGTCAGAGGGCTTTCATTTCCCAACAATTGCATTTTCTCACCAGTTGCATGTCGCTTGCTGTAAAGTCGTATGGTGCATCCAGCGCTTTCTATAAGGCATTCATTTTCATAAGAAAAAAATTGTGGCTATAAATCAGAGGCAATATTTGCCTGTCATCTTCCCATGCAGTTGTGAATCACTAATCTTGCTCTGCTTCTGCAATGAAGGTGTTTCCAATGCTCATCAGTACTTCTTGGCATACGTGAGATTAACCTGTTTGGGTCTATGCTTCCCAATCTACTATTCACTGTCTCAACCAAGGAATAAATGGATCATTTTTCATGCCTTGAATCTGTGCCAACCCCTGAAGAGATAATCTGTATAAAAGATAATTGTTAGATTGGGGTGACAGCAGTTCTATTCCTGTTGTTTCTATTACAAGTGGAATAGTTGTATCAACTCAAGATGCAGTGCCCTCATTTCTTCTGACAAAAGTATTACAAAAAATGTGTATGTTGTGTATACCTGGTACTTGTGTTTTTGTCTTACAATATCCAATAAATTAAAACATATATTTCAGGAGAAAAGTAGACTCAATAAAGTGAACCCATACTATTCAGATTTTGATGGTATACATTTTTCTGATTTAATTCTTGGCCTTACGATGGACTGCAGGGTGATCACATCGATAGGTGAATGTTCTTCCTGCCACTCTACAATAGCGTGGGTCACTATGTTGGTATCACTGCGAACTTTTCAAAACTTCACTCGGATTGTTTGCTCCACTTAAGCTCACCATAAGTATCAGATTAACAACTAAATTGAAATTGTGTGCACCTCGTGAATTCCTGAGTCCTTGAACTCACTGGGGTTCGAATCTATTTGAAGACAGTATGGCGGTGTCCTGACCAATAGGAGATACTGGTGACTGCTGAGTACTTGGATTCATAGGAGTTGGGTGTCTGCTTTGATGTATGGCGGTTTCTGCATCACTCAAAGGCACTGGAGACTCTTGATTGTGTTCCATAGGACTGTCAATATCGAAGTAGGAGGAGTCGTCTCTTTCCTCTCCTTCTTCATAGACTGTTGCAGATCGTTTGGTGGGTTTCTTATTGGCTACCATTGTCGCCCAAACCTCACCCATTTTCTGTTTATTGGAGGCAACAGCCTCCATAGTTTTAAATAAAAGGTTGGTCACTCTACCAGTTATCAGCGAGCAATACCAGTGGCAATGAATATCTCAACTGCCATCTTCGGTTTTAAATAAAAAGGCGTCTTTATTCCATTTCAGTTAGTTTTCTTTTCCTCCTTCATCCACTGAATATGCCTCTCAATTAAAGTCTTGTCCCTAAGAGTTGTTGGGAAGGTAGTTCAGTATTTCACATGGCATAGAAATGTTCATCTTTGAGGACATGGTTGGAGGAACCCTATCACAGGCTTCTTGGCATGTGGTATCTGCTGCCAATAACGGCAGAGCTTCTGTGCAAATCTTACCAGTTTTTTCAAAATACCTGTTTAAATATTGCTGCTTCAATATTGCTGGGAAGTTCCTCTGAGCATGCTCTGTAGTAGAATTGTAAGTTGGCGACAGGGGGTTGTCACTTTCCAATGAGTTATCGTATATATTCCAAATGTGACAGTTCTTCATCAGACATGCTGTCTTGTCGAAGTTTGGCGTTGGTTGGGTTAGAAATCCATGTAGCAGCTTCTGAATCAATAGTGTCCGACCCATCATTCCCAATAGGTGTTTAAAAGGTGTCATAGGGGCCTTATCATTGGCATCTCAATCGGAGTAAAACAGTTGCCTGGTAGGGATGTGGGATTTTGAGCTTTATGGAGACAGTAAGTTCCTGCTTAGTGCTCTCCTAATAAGGCTAGCATACCTATCATAACGTGCTGCAGGGTCTTGGTCTGCCTGGTATATCTGCAAAGACATCCCATGGGTGATCTTACATCTCTCATCAATTGTGCCTTCAGCTCGGTATCTTTTGTACTAGAACAGAGCTGAATAATTGTTTTTACCCCCCCCCCCCCCCCCCCCCCCCCACGGGCTTACTCATATGTCCTCTCAGGGTAAAGAGAAGACCCAAGAGTTGTCCAACTGCCATATCTGGCTTTGGTGAAGGGTGAATACATCTTCAACCATTCCTTCAATCTCACAAGCTTCTTTCATAGCAGTGAGGGTCACTTTTAAGTTATCTGCTATTTTCTGCATGTTTTTGTTGCCATATAGGAGTGAGAACTCAAAGAAAATCTAAATAAAGAAAATAAGTCAAAAATATGTCATAAATTACTGTCACAGCCTCATTCTTCTCATTCTTCATTATGCTGGTTTCGTTTGATGATCCATCGGGCGACCTAATTACCCTGGCTGTTAATTTCAATGTATTGCAGGCTATATTTAGAAGCATGTCTGCAACGTTATGGTTAAGATTTTGAAGGGAAAGGTAGCGGTTACATGTAGTTTTCTTCTCTTCATCGTCGTCGGTGCGAAATGCATCGTACAACTGCTCGTTTTGTTCCACCTCCATAATACGACTGGCATTCTGATCTGGAGTAATCATTACTCTTTCGTCAGCATGGAGGCTTGTGCTAATTGCATACAGAAGAAAGCGGCCATCACCACGCACTGGTATTAGGGACAGTTCCTCTCTTTCTAGGTAACTGTTGAGACACTCTTCATCCTTACTGGTAGTAGGTTGCCCCAATGCAATCAAGCAATATGGAACATTACAACTTGTTGTAATTGGCGTCACTATCTCCCATAATGGTACCGATAAGCGTTGATCGATCCATTTCTGACAGTTTCTCGTGAGCCATTGTTTTATTTAACAGAGATTTTGGCAGTGTTCTTTAGGAAATGAATATTAGTATGGTAACCTTCCATTAGGAGTCAGCTTCCTGAAACTGTTAACAAGCATACCCTAACGGACTACCAGCATGGAAAGAAAATTAAGTGGAAATTGTTACACTGAGGACTGAGATAAATTGCGTCAAATGGACACAATACATTTAAAATGTGGGGTCAATTTTGATAAAACAGCGTCAGGGGCGCACAAGAATTGCGCTAACAGGAACCCTGGGCGCCTCCACAGTCAAGCACATCTTGGTCAGTGTTGGGGCAATCTTTGTCCGTTACACATGATGCAATGAAGTCTTCCTCAGCAAAGGCGAAGCTGTTCAATGGAAAGATTCCCGTTTTTTTTTTCCAAAAGCACATATGTTCTTCAGTGACAGGCCCCCCAGGGTTGTTGTGAAACCAAAGGTTTTGAGAAACACATATTTATTTCTTGGAAAGACTAGATAGAGATGACTCCACTATAAACCTATGAACTGATCTCTTTAACTTAAAAGCCTCATATATATAAGCTCCCAGTCTCCATGCATCGTCATTATTACATACTTTCATAAGTTCTAAACAAACTTCATTACAATTTTTAAGAATGTTTCCCAGGTACTTAAGCCTTAGACTACTATATAAAGGGCAACTGAACATAAGATAGGATTCATTTTCAATAACATCCATGTTTAAGTACATATGACAATAAAGACGTATTCTTTCATCTCTGGGGGTGCCATACCACCTACCAGTCTCAATACCAAGTTTGTGTGCTGAGCACCTGAGCAATAATAATGCCCTACTATACTTTTTATTTTTAATATTTAACAGATATCTTTCAGGTTCGATTGTTTTCTTAAATTGACCATACAGTTC